GGATGGGTGTGGGTGCGGCCGCCCGACCACCGCGAATACCTTTCGCCATCTACCGAAGAACTGTTCGAAAATAGAAAAAAAAGCATCGCGCGAAAGTACGAACTCAAAAGAAAAACAAAAGCGCGAAACAGACGAAACCCGAAACGACAAAAAAAGAAATTCTGGAAAAAAAAAAAAAGCGCGAAACAGACGACACCCGAAACGGCAAAAAAGAAAAAGAAAAAAAAAGTCCGCTGCGTGCGGGTGGGTGGCTGCGGCTGCGGCTGCCCGACCGCCGCAAATACCTTTTGCCTTCTACCTAATAACTGCCCGGAAAAGAAAAAGCACCGCGTGAAACGACAAAAAAGAAAAAGAAATTCCGCGCCGCGCCAGACAACAAACGAAAAAGAAAAACAAAATGCGCCAAACAACAAACGAAAAAGAAAAAGAAAAAAAAAATTGCGCCGGCCGCTTAAGGATATTCCCTTGCATCTGCGGCCGCCGCCACCCGGCCCCGGGACACGTTCACGTTTGCTGGCGTGCTGTGAACATTTCGGTACGCGCACCACTCTGCACGCCCCCCCGCCCTCAATCGCCTTCATCCGCTGCCCCATACCAAAAGTTGAACCCGATTTCAAGTGCAGCGGACCATTGACCTGCCCCCCGCGGCCAAGGCTCCTTAAGGGATAGGATTAAAAAAAAAAAAAAAAAATCTTCATTAACCACTTTCTCTCACTTTGTGGCCTATGGTGACACAACCGGCACGAAGTGTTCATCATTCCCACCCACCCCAGGAGGGAGATCCACTACCGACGTATGTGGATTAGTGGAGAGGGTGTGTGACTCCGAAGAACCGCTGATCGGAACGGTGATCGGCGCTGTGGTGTTTCTTGTATTTGAGCGGGGGGACATATATGTACTTTTTCGACCTCCCATTGGCCGGGCTTTCTTTTTATTTTGTTGAGTAGGCCGTGTAGGGGTCCCCAACGTGAGTGAAAATCATAGCGATTTTTTTTTTTGATAATTTTCAGACACCTTCCGCACAGCGCACACCTTTTTTTTTTTTTTTTTTTTTTCTAAGAGAAACTGCCCGAGCGGGCGCTACGGGTGCTGATAAGAGCAGGCACCACTATCACTGTCGGGAGGCTCCATCTATTGGTGGGGAGCAGCACCTGCTGGAAATCGGGTCCAGCATCCCTGTGGAGTACAATGTAAACAATAAGCGTGAGCATGATATGTCAGTATCCATTCGAGGGCCAGGTGGTAAGCAGCCCAGCCTAGTGTTCCTACGAGTTATCAATTATAATAATATTGTTGTTGTAACCTACTAACCTTGACTGTCGATTACTATGTATCTGTTAATTGCATCATGCTGTTGTGTCTGTTGTGTTTGTTATGATCTGTTGTGATCTGTTGCGATCTGTTGTGATGATAAGCCCTTAAAACCTAGTGCCCGTCCTTCCCCATATTACCCGGGCTGTAGTCTTGTGCAGTGTTGTAACAGTGTGAAGTGTATTGTGTTAGTGTAAAACAGATGTGAGGTGGCTTCTGCCACCCCCTGTTCCTTCCTTCCCAAATACCCGTGGTGTTTATTACCATCTAAAGCTCATTCTGGTGTTCTCTGGTGTGATCTAGTGTGATCTGGGTGGGGTGGCTTCCGCCCCCGCTATTCCCTCCCTCCATCCCGGTGTGACTGCGACCTGCCTTGTCCTTTGGTCGCTTGATTGAGCCTTCACAGTCGCACCATTCTACCCCCCGTGTCACATCTATCTCAACTGTGTCTTTGCAGCATTGCTTGTCGGTGATAGGCAGTGTCCATGCCATTCTATGTCCTTTTGTGCCAAATTACTTAATCCCTTAAACCCTTAAACCCTAAGACCTAAGACCCCACCGTCCTAGTAATTTGACCTTTCGTCCCCTCTTTAATGGCACATCATTTCACCTAACCACAGTGTACACATTGCGTAGTGTGCGTAATGTTTATCTATGTTATCTGTGCTGTAACAGTCCGGCGTAAAACCCCCACTAGACTGAGTAGCCCACATCGGTTCAATTGACTGTATATTGTCTATATATCATGTTGTCACCGGCTGACTTTCACCCTTGCTGTCCTTGGTGTGAGTTGTTGGCGCCTCATGACCAGATCCTGCTTCTGTCCCTCTTGATTCCCGGTGGACCTTCTTCTTCAAGTCATAAGCGGGACTCCATGCTTGGCCAGCATACAGTTTGCAGGTGCAGGAGGGCAGGAGAGGAGGAAAAATGCAGAGGGAGGAAGGAGGGAGGGGGTAGGAGGTAGAGTGTGGGTGGGTTGGGGGGGGGAGGGAGGCGCAGGGGGGGGGAGATCAGGAGATGGGGKGGGGAAGAGGGGCAAATGCGATGTTGAGGTGAGGGCGGTGGGGTCCTAGACCAAGATGAAATTGGTTGGTTGAAAGGGGAAGACGAAGTGGTGACGTGGTGAACGTTGCCATTGGTTCTCTGTTTTAAGCCAGGGCTTCCATCTTAGCTGGTTATGTTGGTCCAGTTCGCAGAACCTCTCTGTGTTGTCCACCCATACTGCACGAAAGTTCGCTGTTAGATCATTACGTTTGATCTCTTCTGGTTCTTTTGCCAGCATTTGTTTGAGCTCCTTCCATCCGCGTGTGTGTTTGTGGAGATCGCGCCTACAACCGCTGTCCTCGCTTCCATATATCCAAATGTATGCTGTTTGTATTCATGAGAGCATCTCATCTTCCATGCCGCCATTAACATTGGCAAGCGAGTTATTTTGAACAGATTAGTCATCAAGCGTGACCACGTGGCAGCTTGTGGCGGTGTCTCTTCTAGGAGGATGGTCATGAGATCCCATGGCAGGTGGGTGTCTGTCAAGTAGTGCCACACAGCATCCCGCCATCCCCATAGTTGGGCCACCATGGGACAGTCCAAAAGGCAGTGTTCCAGTGTGGCCCGATATTTGGGGGAGCTTTTTCCGCAGAAGGAGCACAGTGGGGAGAGCACCCCTCGCTCTTCCAGGTTTGACCTTGATGTGATCCATCCGGAGTTGGCAGGCATCGGTGGACGATTTGCCATTGGAGGGCTCTGAGGTTGGTCAGCTGTATACGCGAGTATGTATTCGAGTTTAGTTTGCAGAGGTCATCTGTGTTCATGGGTGAATCTCTGGCCCATCGGACTTTGATCGGGTCCAAGATCAATATCTTTTTTCTGGCCAGCCTGTAGCCATTTTTGACCGTGTATTGCCAAATATGGAGTTTTCTTTCTCCCCCGATATCCCACGCCCATTCCTGCGGGTCGAAGGGCAGCTGGCAAAGCGGCATGGCCGGCTCATAGACGTACCAACCTTGATCCTGTTCATTCACTACGCACACTTTGGTCAGGTTATCAGGCGGTCTGTCGTGGTCCAGCCTCTCATCCCCGAGGAAATCGGTCCATCTTTCTCCCGGCAGTCGCGGTGTATAGGCGTGCGACCGCACCTGCTGTGCTTCTATTTTGTCCACTTTGTACACCACCATCGGGAGCGGCCAGTCTTCTTTGTTGACAACCCAATCCCCTTGCTCAAGTGTTGGACCCTTTTTCAACACTGAGATCCAGGCCAGCGGGATGGCCTCTTGCAGCATTTCTAGGCCATCCTCTATGTTTGTGATCTGAGACAACTTTGGTCAGAGCTCATGTGCTGTATACCATGTGTTAGTCAGCGGATTCCACAACTTGCTGATTGTGTGTATTCCCTTCTTTGTCCAGGGGAGCCAGCGCGAGCGGTTATGCGAGGGGAAGGGATTGCCATTTTGTCCAGGATGAACGAGTTGCCAAACACAGGTTGTCTCCATATCTCGTCCCATCTCAGCGTTGTTAGGTTTTTTAGATGGGCCCCGCTTTCTCCAGAGCCTGAGGAACGTGATCCACAACGGATCTGTTCTAAGGTCTCATTTTGCAGCCGATGTTGTTGTGTCGTTTCTTCGCGTGCGGG